CTCCCTCACTCGGTCACCAGTCATCCCCTCCCTCTGTCACCTGTCACGCCCTCACTCTAGTGACAGAGTGAGGGAGGGTGGGACTAGTGACAGAGAGAGGCAGGGGGTGACTAGTGACAGTAAGGAAGGGGATGACTAGTGAAAGAGTGAGAAAGGGGGTGACACAATGACAGAGTGAGGAAGGGGGTGACTAGTGACAGAGTGAAGGAGGTGGTGACTGTCACTAGTCACCTCATCCCTCCCTCTGTCACTAATCACAACCTCCCTCACTCTGTCACTAGTCACCCCCTCCCTCTCTCTGTCACTAGTCACACCGTCCCTCACCCTGTCACTAGAGTGAGGGGGTGACAGGTGACAGAGTGAGGGAAGGGGTGACTAGTGGCAGAGTGAGGGGGATGACTGGTGACAGAGTGAGGGAGGTGGTGACTAGTGACAAAGTGAGGGAGGTGGTGACTGTCACTAGTCACCACCTCCCTCACTTTGTCCCTAGTCACTCCTCCCTCTGTCACTAGTCGCCCCCACCCTCTCTGTGTCACTAGTCACACCCTCCCTCACTCTGTCACTAGAGTGAAGGGGTGACAGGTGACAGAGTGAGGGAAGGGGTGACTAGTGGCAGAGTGAGGGAAGGAAGGGGTGACTAGTGACAGTGAGGAAGGGGGTGACACGGTGACAGAGTGAGGGAGGGGGTGACACAGTAACAGAGTGAAGGAGGGGGTGACTGTCACTAGTCACCCCATCCCTCCCTCTGTCACTAATCATCACCTCCCTCACTCTGTCACTAGTCACCCCTTCCCTCCCTCACTCTGTCACTAGTCACTCCCTCCCTCTCTATGACACTAATCACCCCCTCCCTCACTCTGTCACTAGAGTGAGGGGGTGACAGGTCACAGAGTGAGGGGGTGACAGGTCACAGAGTGAGGGAAGGGGTGACTAGTGGCAGAGTGAGGGAAGGAAGGGGTGACTAGTGGCAGAGTGAGGAAGGGGGTGAAACAGTGACAGAGTGAAGGAGGGGGTGACTGTCACTAGTCACCCCATCCCTCCCTCTGTCACAAATCATCACCTCCCTCACTCTGTCACTAGTCACCCCCTCCCTCTCTCTGACACTAGTCACACTCTCCCTCACTCTGTCACTAGAGTGAGGGGGTGACAGGTGACAGAGTGAGGGGGTGACAGGTGATAGAGTGAGGGAAGGAGTGACTAGTGGCAGAGTGAGGGAAGGAAGGGGTGACTAGTGACAGAGTGAGGGGATGACTGGTGACAGAGTGAGGGAGGGGGTGACTAGTGACAGTGAGGGAGGTGGTGACTGTCACTAGTCACAACCTCCCTCACTCTGTCCCTAGTCACCCTTCCCTCTGTCACTAGTCACCACTTCCCTCCCTCACTCTGTCACTAGTCATCCCCTCCCTCACTCTGTCACTAGTGACGGAGTGAGGGAAGGGGTGACTAGTGGCAGAGTGAGGAAAGGGTTATTAGTGACAGAGTGAGGGAGGTGGTGACTGTCACCAGTCACCACCTCCCTCCTTCTGTCACTACTCCCTCCCTCCTTCTGTCACTAGTCACCCCCTCTGTCCCTTACTCTGTCACTAGTCATCCCCCTAACTCACTCTGTCACCAGTCATCCGCTCACTCTGTCACCAGTCATCCCTTCCTTCCCTCACTCTGCCACTAGTCACCCCTTCCCTCACTCTGTCACCAGTCATTCCCTCACTCTAGTGACAGAGTGAGGGAGGGTGTGACTAGTGACAGAGTGAGGGAGAGGGTGACTAGTGACAGAGTGAGGGAGTGATTAGTGACAGAGTGAAGGAGGGAATGGGTGACTAGTGACAGAGTGAGGGAGACGTGACTAGTGACGGGGGGGTTACCTGTGAGGGAGGGTGTGACTAGTGACAGAGGGAGGGAGATGGTGACTAGTGACAGAGGGAGGGAGATGGTGACTGTCACTAGTCACCCCATCCCTAACTCTGTCACTAGTCATCCCCTCACTCTGTCACTAGTCACCCACTCCCGCACTCTGTCACTAGTCACCCCCTCCCTCTGTCACTGTGTCACCCCGTCCCTCCCTCTGTCACTGTGTCACCCCATCCCTCCCTCTGTCACTAGTCATCCCCACCCTTACTCTGTCACTAGTCACCCCGTCCCTCACTCTGTCACTAGTCACCCCCACCCTCTGTCACTGGTCATCCCCTCCCTCACTCTGTCACTAGTCACCCACTCACTCTAGTGACAGAGTGAGGGAGAGGGTGACTAGTGACAGAGTGAGGGAGGGGGTGACTAGTGACAGAGTAAGGGAGGGAAGGGTTGACTAGCGACAAAGTGAGGCAAGGAAGGGGTGACAGAGTGAGGGAGGGGGTTACTAGTGACACAGTGGGGGAGTGACTAGTGACAGAGTGAGGGAGAGGGTTACTAGTGACACAGTCGGGGGTGACTAGTGACAGTGGGGGGTGACTAGTGACAGTGGGGGGGTGACTAGTGACAGTGAGGGGGGGTGACTAGTGACAGT